TGGTGGAAACTGAGAGATTAGAAGACATAGAAGCATTAAAAATGGTTATAGATTCTGGAGATAATATGGGAAGAGGGTGGGAGTAGGGGGAGAGTGTAAGAAAAGAAACTGAAGAAAATAGAGAGGCAAGACATTTATGGGACACAGAAAGTGGCTACTATCTGTTGATAATGCGTTTTGAATCCTTAACTGGACTGGTGTGAAGAGTATTCATGTTGGGTAAATTCAACTTATAAGCAAAGTGATGTACAGTAATTAAATGTATAAAATAAATTTTAAAAAGAGAGAGAGAGGTAACGGGGTGGAGTCAACCAACCATGGAAGCTTTAGAGACAATGGGAAACATTTTGAACTTGAATCTAAGTGAGGTGGGAAGCAACTGAGTGTTTTTCAGTTGAGGATAAAGTACCATGATCCCCTTTACATATTTTAAAAATCACTCTAGTCACTGTGTAGAGAAGATGCTCAGGGTGTGTGTGTGTGTGTGTGTGTGTGTGCACATACATGAGCAATGTATGCATGTGCATTTTTTCCACCCAATCCTTCACCCTTTGCTCCCTGACAACAGAGACCTAACTGTAAATTCCTTGAAATGTGCTGTCCTTCTACATCCCAGTGTCCATTCCCTGCAATGTCTTAGTCCCTATGTAACTAACTCAGATGTGACATAGACCTAAACAGAGGTGAAAAGAGTAGAGATACACAGGAGGGAGCAGATTACAGGAGTACTTGTGGATGCAGTATCTGCAGGACTTGGTATAGGTAGGCATGATGGGACATTCCAGATGGAGGTTGGAAGACCAGGACTTTTCTAGTTGGGCCAAAAAGAACACACCTAGCGGGAATGATGATCATTTCGCTGTGATTCTGTTGAGCTGAGGTGACTGTGAAACAAGTAGGGTAAGTTATCTAACCAGGACTTAGAAATATATTTCTGAAACTCATCAGAGAATCCTGATGTGCCAAAGTAAAAAACTAAGGAGCCACTGAATGAGAAATAATAATTGGTGCCGAAAAATGTAGATGGCACCCAAGAAGGGTGCAGAGGGCAAGTAGCACAGAGGGCTAAACATGGTGTTATGAGGAGTCTTGGCAAGAACTCATAATGGAAGGGATGGGACATCCTTAGATCCAAGTCGGTGAAGGAGTTCTGCAACCTTCTGTATAGGGTTTAAAACTTTGACAAAGGCTGCTTCTTCATTTAAGGCAGTAGCAGGTAGACAATAGAGAGTTAATCTTGGGCACGCACGCACACGCGTCCAGTGTGAGTTTAAGCCACGAGGTCCGGGACGCAAACCTCGGTCGACTACATGGGAGTCCAGTGACACAGTCATTATGCTAACTGCTGGTCCCAGAAGTTTCTAATATAAAATGGAAGAGAGGAAGAAAGGCATTAGAGGGCACACATAGCTTCTCAGACTGTTTTCTTTTAAGTGCTTTGCTATATCTACCACACAGAGGAAAGAGAGCTTTGACCAGGGAAAAAGAACAAAAAGAAAGGGCTAATTTTGAAACCTGAAGCTTTCTGAGAAGAGAAGAAGTGGGTGGATGCTGGTGTGGATGCAGCATGCATGCAGTGGCATGTTGAACATGGGATGACCCAAACTCAACCGAACTCCCAGCTGGCCTCTCTTACTCCCCGCCTATCTAGACAAGCTTCATACCTGCCTATGTCCCAGTCTTACTTCCAAGGGTCACTGAGAGGCTGAGATTCAGCAATGCCAAGCATTACACCCTCACCTAGTAAATACTCAAATTATAATTATATCTCCTCCCATTCTTAGACAGCAGAGGATAGGATGTGCAAAAGGACAGGAAAAGCAGCTTAAGGAGGAAGGCGTCTGGACACCGAAATACTGCCTACTTCACAATTTTGCCTGAAATCCTGATGTCTAAACGTAAATGAGAAGCATGTTACAATGCCAGTTTGATGGCTGCTCCTCCATATCCCAGTGGGATGCTGAAGGTAAGGGTTACTCTGGAGCAACACCAAGGAGGCAGCCAGTCACAGGTTCCAGAAGCTGCTGGCCCCTGAACTAAAAGAAACGGCTGGTTGCAAAGACTTGAAAGAAAAAAGTTTCTTTTGTGTGATTAAAAGATCCCCCCCCCAAAAGCATGTTTTTAAAGGTCAAACAATGCTGTTTATAGACAACCTGCATCTCTAACCCTGCAGCTAAAGAAAAGAAGTAAAACCCATTGATGGTTCCACCCAGTTACCAAAAAAAAAAAAAAAAAAAAAATGTTAGCAGCCTAAGAGTACAAGATAATATTTCTTTTCTCAGGTTTTAATCCTTCTATAAAAACGTTTCACTCCCATGTCTTACAAACTCTAGGGATTAGTCTTCTGGGCTGTTCACTTAATCAGTTACCTGGCATGTCTACAAGAACAGATCATTATTAGCTGGAGGAGATACCAAGAGTTTAAAAAACCTTCTTTTCTCTACCTCCTTTCCAGCCTCTACCAATCTTTAGTCAAAGCAAAAGATGCAGAAAAGAAGCAGAGAAGTTCCCATGTTTTCTTGACCCGGGCCAGTAACAATGACTCCAGGTGAACAAAACAGTGTCAGAACCACATGCTCTAGGACCGTGGGCACAATGCAAAGGGGTGAAAAGAGGAACAGTTGGATATCCAGTTTTCAAGGCTATCTAACTGTTAAGTGTGAGCAAATCATTATTTGAAGAAGATTGACTATAAGCTCTATGAGATCAGTGATTTTTATCTAGTTTTGATATTGCCAAATCCTAGCAGTACCTGCAAATAATAAGCACTTAATAAATATTTGATGACTTATCAAAATAAATGTATGATAACTTTCAGAATAAGGACATTTGCTATTATCAAGTCCACCATTTTCCAAAATTTATTCTGTTGGTTTGTACAAATAAAAGTATCAGGGAAAAATACTTAACTCTAATTCTAGTCTAAAACTCAACACTAATTTCTACACTGAGAGTAGAAAAAGGGAGAGAAGGTGAAAATATGATCTTGCTACTGCAGAAAGCTTTCATAAGGAATTTCCGGCTAGAAGTTTGAGGTCCCATTTACTTTCTTCTACCAAAAATTCCAGCTAAGAAGAAAGAAAGGACTTTGAGGGGAAGAAAAAAGAGAGAAAATTTGCTAAATACAGGTTTAATGTTTTGAAAATGAATACACAAAAATAATCCAAACTAACTCAGACTTCAGTGCTTATGCATCAACATTATAAAGTGACAACAAAAGGAAAGCTGAAAAGAATTTTCTCCAAATAAACATTATGTTCTGGAAAAGATTTGGATTTGATTTGCATGCTTGGCATCCTTCTGCCTCTAAAATAAATTATTTTGGATGCTTTTGCAAGGCATCTCTCAGAAGTCACCTGTGTTGGTTCCATTTCTATTGTTCCATATTTATGCACCACTGCTCACTTCCCACTGTTTGCTAAACAATTTGTGATAATTCATATTTATTATAGTTTTCACAACAAAATCATTTGGTGGTACATATCACCCTATAACAGACCTCCTCCGGGGGGAGCAAGGGAAGTATAAATCTTCCAGCTCCATGCTCTTATGCAAGTCTACACAACCAAATAAAAACAGGGCAAATGAGCTACCTCAGAGTAGGAAGAGGTAGATTTTGTTTTACAAAAATGATAAAGAATAAAGGAGAATGAATAAGGAGCATGAAAAATGAAATATCAGTTTTGCAAATCAGCAGAAGCTAATGAATTCAGGTTAAGAAGTCAATAAAGATCAGCTGGTTTAAAGATACTACTAAGTAGAGAGAATGAAGAAAGTGATATTGGATTGTTGGAAAAGTCATGACTTATTTCTCTATGTTTTCTATACAAAAATGCATCATAACTTTTCAGACAATCCAATGTCTCCATGTTCGAAATACTGGGTTTTAGGGTCAGAGAGGCCTTGCTCTAACTAATCTCAGTTCCACTAGTTATGTGATGTCAGCCAAGTTACTTAACCTCTCTAAAGCTTTCTTTCTGAATCCATAAAAAATACCTCTAGCAAGCTTGCACGTGCTTGCATACACAGAATACTTTGGGAACTGTCAGCACACAGTAAAAGCTCAATTAATCATAGCAATTATTAATGAAGGAAGAAGACTAAATAAATGCCCCATGAGACCAGTGATTTTTATCCAGTTTTGGTATCGCCAAATCCCAGAAGTGCCTAGCACTTAGTAAGTACACAATAAATACATGACAATTAATCAAAATAAATGTATAATACTTCTCAGAATAAGGGCACTTGCTATCACCAAGGCCACCATTTTCTAACATATTTTAAAAATGGCTTCTCGGGAACCAGCAGTTAGCATAATGGCTATGTCGCTGGACTCCCACATAGTCGACCGTGGTTCGCGTCCCAGACCCGGTGGCTTAAAACTCATGCCGGGCGCGTGTGCGTGCGTGCCCAAGATCCCGAGAGCAGAATGGAGGAGAAGGGATTGCAGCGTGACCATCCCCCCCTTGGGGGTGATTTCTCACTTTCTGTCTCTATGTCTCTCTCTGTCTGTCTGGCAAGTGCACGCGCCCTATAGTGAAAACCTCTCAAAAAAAAAAAAATGGCTTCTCATAGCCTTGATAAAAGGCCATATGTCTATTGGAAAATAACTGTTCTTAAGACCTATATTCTGTTATGCTTTGATTTTATACACAGATAACAACCACTATAATTGTCTTAGAATCTGAACCAATCTGTCTGCCTTGACGTCTTCGCACTGCCCTAGTAGACATAAAAGCTTTTAGTTTTAATGTGTGTGCAGGGCAGTTATTCAAAGAACACCCAGATATTTGGTTTGACTCAAAGTTAAACAACCACTTAGCCAGATAATAATAAATAACTGCCTTTATTTACTTTCCTTTTTTCTAAAATATAAATGCTATCGCCTTTAATGAACCAGAGAAAATAATAAAAAATCATGGTCAGGTAACCTGGTAAATGAGAGATTTTGGTGGTGGTGAGTTCTGAAAGCACTATATGAAGAGCAGAAGGCACGTTACCTTTGCAGAATGCTCCATGGTGACGACCACTTTGGTTTTGGCACTGGACACCAAATCCATGGCACCTCCCATTCCTTTCACCATCTTCCCCTGCAAAATAGAAACCAAAAATATGTAACTCTTTATTTTTCACTTCTTTCATATGTGACCAAACAAAATTAACTTGCAAAAATATGCCACTAGAGGAGCCAGCAGGTGGCGTTGTGGTTAAGTCACTGGACCCCAACATGGCAACTGCAGTTTGCATCCCAGACCCAGTGGCTTGAAAATCACCAGGTGTGTGTGTGTGTGTGTGTGTGTGCATGCTCAAAATTTCAGAAGGAGAATGGAGAAGAAGGGACTGCAGTGTGGCCTTCTCCCACCCCCAGCCTGGGGGGCTAATTTCTCACTTTCTGTCTTTCTGTCTGTCTCTGGCAAGTGCACATGCCATATAGCAAAAACTTAAGAAAAAAGGAAAGAATTTGACACTAGAATTATTAACAAGAAAAATTTACTGACTTCCATTGCTTAGTACTTGAAGCTTCACAACCTAATATTTTGTTATTCTAACATCCTATGGTTGAAAGATAAAGCTCAGTATAAATATTACATGTCACTTTATCAAGTGTGACTAATATGATTTTTTTGAAGATAAAAAGAAATTTTAAAACGTTCATGTAATTCTAGCATGTTACTTTCATTACAAAATACCAGACTGAAATCCAAAACTCCAGAGATCCACCTCCTCTTAAGCACATAATTGACACCACTGAGTCTTCAATTACAGACACTTTCTCTTGCTTTTCCTACAGATTAAAATGCCATTAGGTAGTAGACTGAGGCACCCATAGTGTTGCTGTGTAATGATTAATGTGAAAGGTGAGTCTGTCTTTCTAACACTTGTCATTAATCTTTCTCTCAGAAGAATAAAACACAACAAAATGAAAAACAAACCTCACTCAGAAACTATAGAAAACAGAGCAGAGTTCAGAATCCTTTCTCCATTACCAGTCTATTTTTGTCCATCCATCCATCCCTCATTCATTATACATTTACTGGCCACCTTCTATGTGCCATACACTCAAAAACTTCTCATTGTCCATTCTGTCTCCTGGTTACAGAGTTTAGGGAAAAGCAAATGTTTCCACAGAGGATAAAATAAATTCTTATTTAAGTGTCCTTAAAGGTCTTCTAACATCAAAACCTCCTTAAAATTTTATTCATTTTTTTAAACCAAAGTCCTCTTGCCAGTAAACTCTCAGAGGGCTCTCAGGTCCTTTCCATAATTTCTGAGCTATAAGGAGATTACAAAATAGACTCAAGACCTGGCTTTAGAACACAGACTCAAATCCCATGACTTCAGAGACAATTTGGAGGTCAATGCAACACTACATGAATGTGGATTAATTAGCTGAGCAGCATAAAGAGAAGGTGTAAGTACTCATGAAATGGTTAGTAGCTCGTAATGGCTGGGAAGTGATGAGGGGGAGGGGACATAGTGGAAGGTACAAAATGAGTCTGGTTTCAGACATGTAAGTTTGAAATAAAGCAGAATACCCATGTGGAAATGAGTAATTTAAAATTTTGTAAGCAATGCCTTCATCCTTAGTCAAATGCAACTTTAATAAGCTGGGCATCACGTCACATTTCTGTAGAGAATGTTGATACCTTTATAGTTCAAATATGGATACAACAGAGATGGAAGCAATAAATGTTTATCATAAATTCTGGGTTTGTAGAGCACTGAAAGACAGTAAAGCAGCTCTATTACAAAATGTCTCAGCTTGCTACATAGGAACCTACATGGCCAGCCACATGACCTAGTAACTGGGGGAGGCAGATCCCACATGGCTGATGTCATGGTTTGAGTCCTGGCCCTGGTGGCTTGGAAAGACAGACTGAGCACATGCACATGTGTGCCAAAAGTCCCAACAGGATGGAGAGATAGAGGAAGGACTGTGGTGTGTCTACATCTCACATAGGGGGTGCTTTCTCCCTCATACTTCATCCTTCCCCCCTCTCTCTGTCTCTAGCAAGCAAACATACTCTCAGGCAAACAAACAAACAGACTCCTCAGCAGTCTCAGCTTCTGCACAGTGACCTCAGGCAGACTCTTAGGGAGGAATGCTAGAAGAATGAAGCAGCAGCAAAGAAAGAAAACCAGAAACTAAGCTAGCATGTTAAAGGGCCCTTAAATTTACATGGAATCCCTGAATTAGAATTTACCACAGGCAAATTCTGTCCCCCGTGACACAATGATTACATAGGTAAAAACTTATGACAGCCTCTAACAGAAAGCTTGTCCAATTTAAGTCAATCTGATTTATATATTTTAAATCACCATCTATTAGTTAAGAAATATTTATAGAACCCCTACTGGGTACAAAACACTTTGCAGACAGGAATAGAAACCACTGTAAAACATGGTAGAAGAACCATCTCTCAGTTCTTGGGGTTAAATGCTGATGCAGCAGTAAAATATGAAGCTCTGTGAGGCTGGCCCACATAAGAAAGTTCCAGGTTCATGTCCAGAGGCCTCCCTGAACACATCAGGCACACATGTGTTCATAATCCCAGACTGCAGGTGAATCAGTGTCAAGACTGATGGGAGTATTGTCTCTCTGTCTCTATGACTCATGAAATAAATACAAAATAAACTTTAAAATAATTAAGAAAAAAATTCTTGTTTGACCCAATTTAAATAAATAGGTTTCAACACGTAAAGAGAAGCAAGTGGTTTGATGCTCTATCCCTGAAGCACATGCTACAAATTTCAAAGTACTATTTGAAAGTTTGTTTCCAAGATTGGTGCAGATCACCTGAGAGCTATTCTGTTAACCCATTATGCAACAGTGTCGAATACTGCATTTCTGAATTTTGGTTCATTATCTATAAACCAAGTATAAGAATATCCTGTCCTATCATAGAGCTGTGGTGAGCAATACATGAGATAATACATGCAGTGTAAATAAAGTTTATAAATGTATTCACTTACACCTTCCCTTCGTCAATACAACTTAGTGAGAATCTATTATAAGCCTGGCACTATACTGAGTGCTAGAGTTAGAAATGATCAAAACACAGTTCTTCTCCTCCAAAAGCTCATCATCTAGGGAAAGGGCAAGTATCCGTTAATAATAAAATAGACTTAGACCAAACTTCCTTCCTCTAAAAGAAGCATTCCACACTTCTCCCTCTGCCCTGAGGTAGATCTAAGTGCCATTTCTGTATGTCCTTACACTATTTAGTATGTTATTCTATCACACTGTATTTCAACTCTTCCCTCCCCTCCTCTCTTTCTCTGCATTATTAGTATTCGGATGACTAAATTAAACTAACATAGGCAAGTTCTATCAGAACACTGAGGATGTGACTGCCAACCACCTGGGGAAATAGGGATGGAAGGAAGAGGCTCAGAGGGTTTTCACGGAAGTACCAATAGTTTGCTCATGGGAAGAGCAATACTATGAAAGAGAAAAGCAGTATCTCCTGATAAAAACTATTGTTAGCTGGTTAACAGGAAAACTTTCAAATGTCTGACTTTCCTACTCTTTTATCATGTTCACTGTATTTAGAAAAATAAAATATTCAAATCAATTCCCAACAGATTCCTGAAACACAACCAATCACCAAAAGAAGACAAGTCATTTTATCTACACCTTCGCAAGATATGGGGGTAGGTAAAGTATAGTCTGACAGAAGTGAGAAATTGATCATCATTCTTCAACCCAGCTTAGCAGAAATTCTCTTGGGACCACTGCCCCCCACCACTCGACCTGCCTTTCTCAGCTCTCTATTGCATTTAAGGATGGCCACATGCCTGAGTTCCTGACCACAGAAGAAAGGGAAGTGATATGTGTGATTCCTGAGCTCTGGCCCACAAAAATCACTTGATTGCAATCCTTCATGCTCTTTTACCTTCTAGAATATGGACATTGACATCACAGGTGACCTTGGAAGGTGGGTGAGCTTTCCTCAGCCTGGGTGCTTAAGTGAATGAGTCTAGCAGAGCCCACTTAGTACCACAATGCACTGTTCCATACAAATGGAAAATAAACATACAGGATGCTAAGCCACTAAAATTAGAACATTTATTTTTTTACTGGAGCTGATGTGACTAATATAATAATGTGAGACCCAAGTAAGTTGTATGGAAGGGCAAAATTCCAGTATGAAATTAAGACTGTGACAGCTGTACAATAAGGCCTAGCAAAGCTCTTAAGAGGACATTGTTTCAGTGTTCCTTGAGAGTGGTGACTATGCCAGGAACCTAGGCATTGTGCGACCTACCATGACTCACCCATCTATACAATGTCCAGCACACCCCTGACGTTTTACAAAGGCACAGTATACTTATGGAGTGAAAGAACAAAATAAGTAAGTGAAAGGGATTTTGAAAAGATGAGCACTACAAGTTAAGGATCACAGACCCTACCCATATCCTTATTCTTCTCAAAATTCAAGATCTTATTCAACATACAAAACAAGAAGCTGATAAAACAGGGGAATTAAGGGGCTGAAAATATACCTGTAAGTGAATCACAAGAGGGAAAGTGATAGGTGGGAAAAAATAGGCTTATGATGAAGAAGAGCTTCTGGGCATGATTGAAGTCGTGGGCCTGGGTGACACAAAGTATGACTTTCTTTAAAATCTCATCAGCAAACATACATTTCTTGAATAGTGCAACTTTAGCTTAGAAATGTATTCTGGCTAACATAATGGAGAGATGATTGCTGGATGCTCATTTCATAGCCAACTCATCTTTTTGCAGTGAAAGATTGACCCTGATATCAAGTGTAGAAAGAACAGTGCAACAAATGAGCTAGAAATACTGCATGCTCCATTATGACTCAATTACACAACTTTTCTAAAAGATATGATTCAAGTGTTATCTGCAATTCACAAATATTTATTCAGAGTCTGTTATAAATCAGGAACCAAGATAGGAATTAGAAATAAAAGGCGAATATGATTATCTACTTCTTTCCTAGAAAATAGGTTGAAATTAAAATAAATACTTTAAATACATTTCACCCACTTTGATCTCATTTCCAATACTGGAATTTTAAAGAAAAGAAAACCGTTATTAAGGCAGTAACATTATATGCAT